TGTCCAGGCGGGTCTTGAATATCTCCAGAGAAGGAGACTCCACAACCTCCCTGGGCAGCCTGGGCCAGGGCTCCGTCACCCTCAGAATGAAGAAGTTCTTCCTCGTGTTCAGACGGAACTTCCTCTGCTTCAGTTTGTGCCCATTGCCACTTGTCCTGGGCTTTGCTCACTGGGGTTGGATTTCGGTACCCAGCCTGCAGCGAAGCCTACGCGCAGGTTGGGCGTCGTCCGTTATTTTGGAAGGGTGCTGCATCAAGTGAGCCTTTCGCTGGGTCCTGCTGGTTTTAGTCCCCTTCATAGAATCAGAGGTTCGTTTAGGTTAGAAAAGACCAGTAAGATCTTCACATCCAACTGTTAACACTGCCAAGTCCACCACTAAACCTCATCACTAAGCACCATCTCTACACGTCTTCTACACACCTCCGGGGATGGGGACTCCACCACTTCCCTGGGCAGCCTGTTCCGGTGCTTAATGACCCTTTCGTTGAATAAATTTTTCCTAATATCCAATCTAAACCTCCCCTGGTGCAACTTGAGGCCATTGCCTCTTGTCCTATCGCTGGTTACTTGGGAGAAGAGACCAACCCCCACTTCACTACAACCTCTCTTCAGGTAGTTGTAGAGAGCGAGAAGGTCTCCCCTCAGGCTCCTCTTCTCCAGACTTGGAGAAAGTTTTGTGTCATGTCAGCTTTGTGTCATGTAGCAAATAATGTCCCAGTCCCCGTACAGCAGCGGGAAGGTTGTCAGGGGTCTCGGAGCGGTGCCGCGTGCCCAGCAAGCAGGGGTGGGCAGTGGGATGGTGGGTTTGCTGCCAGCGTGTGCGCGGGCACCAGGATGCGCTCGCTGAGCATGGAGCGGAGGCTGATGGCTTCTCCCTGCAACCCTTGCAGATGCAGTATGTGTTTATCTACCAAGCACTTCTGGAGCACTATCTCTATGGTGACACGGAGCTGGAGGTGACCTCGTTAGAGATCCACCTCCAGAAGATCTACAACAAAGTGCCAGGGACCAGCAGCAACGGGCTGGAAGAGGAGTTCAAGGTGAGTGTGGTTCTTGTCCTGGTGGATCCGGTCGGATGGTGGTGGGCTGCAGGGACCACCATGCACTTGCCTCCTGCAGGGTGGCTCTGAAATCTACCTCTGCTTTTGTTCCTTCCCCTGCAGAAGCTCACTTCGATCAAAATTCAGAATGACAAGATGAGAACGGGCAACTTGCCGGCGAACATGAAGAAGAACAGGGTGCTTCAGATAATTCCATGTAAGATTTGTTTGTCTGCCTGGGGAAGGCATGCCCAGTGGGTGAGGGGACCATCTGGGGGGTTGTGGGAACGAGTCAGGTTGGAGAAATGGGCCAACGGGGACCTCATGAAGCTCAACAAGAAGTGCAGAGTCCTGCCCCTGAGGAGGAACAACCCTGGGCACCAGTATCTGCTGGGGCCACCTGGCTGGAAAGCAGCTTGGCAGGAAAGGACCTGGGGGTCCTGGTGGACACCAAGCTGACCATGAGCCAGCAAGGTGCTCTTGTGGCAAATTTGGGCAGCTGGGGGTGTCTTGGGCTAGGTTAGACAAAACATGGCCAGCAGGTCAAGGAGGTGATCCTTCCTCATCTACTCAGCACTGGTGACACCATACCTGGAGTACTGGGTCCAGTGCTGGTCTCCCCAGTACAAGAGAGACATGGACAGACTGGAGAGAGTCCAGCAAAGGGCCACGAAGATGATTCAGGGACTGGAGCACCTCACGTATGAGGAAAGGCGGAGAGAGCTGGGACTGCTCAGCCTGGAGAAGAGAAGGCTCCGGGGGTCTCACCAATGTCTGTAAATACCTGGAGGGAGGGCGCAAGGAGGACAGAGCCAGGCTCTTTCCAGTGGTGCCCAGTGACAGGACAAGGGGCCATGGGCACAAAGTGAGACACAGGAGGGTCCCTCTGAACATCAGGGAACGCTTTTTGGGTGTGAGGGTGATGCAGCACTGAGATAGGTTGCCCAGGGAGGTTGTGGGGCCTTCATCCTTGCAGATCCTCAAAATCTGTCTGGACATGGTCCTGAGCAATCAGCTCTGGGTAGCCCTGCTTGAGCAGGGGGGTTGGATCAGATGCTCTCCAGAGGTCCCTTCCAACCTCAACGACTCTGTGATTCTGCGAGTGCTCTGGAGTTGTGGGGACAGAGGCATTTGCACCTGCAGTAGTGGGCTCACAGACTGGCTAAGTTGGGAAGGGACCTCTGGAGATCATCTGGTCCAACCTTCTGCTGAGTCAGGGACAGCATGAGGGGACGGTGCAGAGACAAGGGAAGGTGGGTTTACATGGCCAAATTTAACACTGCCCCTGAGACTTTCCTGCTTTCTTTCTGCCCTGTCCCTGCCATGACCTTCTTCTCAGCAGGTTTGTGCTGCCAAGGCTTTCTGCCTTGAGGGAGAAGGGAGTCCCTGTGTTGAGCAGGTCAAAGAATCATGGAATCATGGCATGGTTTGGGTCGGAAGGGACCTTTAAAGGCCATCTAGCCCAACCCCCCTGCAGTGAGCAGGGACATCTTCAACTGGATCAGGTTGCTCAGAGCCCCGTCCAACCTGGCCTGGAATGTTCCCAGGGATGGGGCATCGACCACCTCTCTGGGCAACCTGGGCCAGGGCCTCACCACCCTCATCGTAAAAAATTTCTTCCTTATATCCAGTCTGAACCTACCCTCTTTTAGTTTAAAATCATTACCCCTCATCCTATCCCTACAGCCCCTGCGAAAAAGTTCTGCTGCTGGAGTCCTCAGCATCCTCTGCTCCTTCCCCAACCCAGAAGGCAGAACCGAGTCTCCTTGTCCCAGCCAGGTGCTGTAAGCGCAGGGCTCCCCTTGGCACATCTCTGTCCTCTCCCCAAGGGCTTGGTGACTGCCCCGCTGAAGGCCGTGCAGGGTTGTCAAGGAGCGATGCTTTGAAGGCGTTCCCCAAAACTCCCATCATTTCGCGTCTGTTTCAGATGAGTTCAACCGAGTAATCATTCCAGTGAAGAGAGGCGAAGAGAACACCGACTACGTAAACGCTTCCTTCATTGACGTGAGTCTTCTGGAATCTTCTTGCCATTTTCTCCCGGTAGAAACTTCTTTACCTCACGCTGCTTCCTATGGAAAGGGTTTGTCCCACAACACTCCTTCTCTGGGTTTTGTGAGGCTCTTTCCACTGGACTTGGTTTGTGTCACTGGCGGGTGCGAGTTTCTTTCTCCAAGGAACCCCTCTATGCACGGTTTCCTCGTGACCCACGGGTGGTGGGAGAGGGGAGCTGGAGCTGGAGCAGAGCCTCACATCCCGCTCTGCCTTCTGCGGCGCCAGGCTCTGACGATGGCTTTGCAGAAGCGGATGCACGTAGCCGTGGAAGTGATTGCTCTACGGCAACTGTTCGTTGGGTCAGGAAACATCCGCTAGATTCGGTCGCGGAGCAGCACACGGACCCCAAAACCTCCGAGAAAAACCAGGTCAATCCCATTATCCCTGTCTGGGAGACGGGAGGAGGCGAGGCGGGGAGGTTAAGTGCTTTCCTCCCTCCGAGGAGGAGGTCAGTGATTGCACATCCTTTCCTCGTGAGTAATCCTGTTGACTTCTGGAGGAACATCTCGTATGAGTATTTATCTTCGTGCAGTGATGCCAGCGCTGGCCAAGTGACAGAGCCCGGCTCATTGCTCGCCCGATTTCTGCTTTCGTCTCCTAATGGCAGAGGAGTTTCCCCCCCCCTCAAAGGACGATTACCACCACGGGTTGAACCAGTAAAAACAGCTTATTCCCAGTTACAACATCCCAAATTAATTGCTCCCTGAAACATCCTTTGCTGGGTCCCTGTGGGATGCTCTGGCTGCGTGAGCATCCGACGGCACGCAGCCGACAGCAGCCGCCTTGTTCCGCGTCGGGATCAGAAAGCTGAAATGTCACGGAAGCCATTTTTGCTGAGGATTTGATTTCCTGCCTCTGCTGAACTTTGCTTAAGCGACAAGCTCCAAGTGACGAAGCGTCTTTAGTCACAGTCCGCAGCGAGGGCGCAGGGCACCGTCGGAGGGGTTTCGGAAACAGAAGCCCTTGGTGGTTGTGGAAGAGCCAGAGCCAACCGGATTTACTGCTGGTTTTCATAGATCATCGAATGGTTTGGGTTGGAGGGGACCTTAAAGAGCATCTCGTTCCAACTAGTTTTACTCGCTGCTTCCAAAAATCCCCAGTAAAAATCATACCTGAAGTGCTTGGAGCTTAGGCAAGGCTCTGCTACAGCACTTGGACTTTACAGAATCACACAGAATTACAGAATGTTTGGGGTTGGCAGGGACCTCTGTGGGTCACCCAGCCCAACCCCCTGCCCAAGCAGGGTCACCCACAGCAGGCTGCACAGCACCGTGTCCAGGCGGGGCTGGAATCTCACCCGAGAACGAGCCGCACCAAACTGGGCAGCCTGGGCCAGGGCTCCGTCACCCTCAGAGGGAAGAAGTTCTTCCTCATCTTCAGCTGGAGCTTCCTCTGCTTCAGTTTGTGCCCGTTGCCCCTTGTCCTGTCGCTGGGCACCACTGGAAAGAGTCTGGCCCCATCCTCCTGACACCCACCCTGCAGATATTTAGAGGCATTTCGAAGGTCCCCTCTCAGCCTTCTCTTCTCCAGGCTGAACAAGCCCAGCTCCCTCAGCCTCTCCTCATAGGAGAGATGCTCCAGTCCCCTCCTCATCCTTGTAGCCCTCCACTGGACTCCCTCCAGTAGCTCCTCATCTTTCTTGAAGTGGGGAGCCCAGAACTGAACACAGGACTCCAGATGGGGCCTCACTATGGCTTAGGAGTGCCAGAAACCCAAATCTTTCTTCGCCAAACGGGTGAGGCCGTGCGTGCGCAGGGGATGTGATCCTCCTCCGGCTGCGCTTCTTTAAAAACAAAGGTCTGGCTGCGGTAAAGCGGTGGCTGATGGCACCTCAGCTGCCGAGCAGCGGTGTGGTGACGCCCGTGCGTGGGGACGTGGCTCACCCTGAGAGCAGGTTTCTCTGCCCAGGCCGTGGTCGTTCACACGGACAGTCGTGATGCTCCCCAAAATTCGCTGAGCTTGGTAGCCCGGCTGCATCCAGGAGTGTTCCTCCCGCTGCTCCCGGCCCCCAGGCGCTGCTGGGTCACCGCCCACCCTGTCTTCACATTGCAGGGTTATCGCCAGAAGGACTCCTACATCGCCAGCCAAGGACCGCTGCAGCACACGATAGAGGACTTCTGGAGGATGATCTGGGAGTGGAAATCCTGCTCCATAGTGATGCTCACGGAGCTGGAGGAGAGAGGCCAGGTAAGCGCCCGGGGTAGCTGCACTGGGGCACCGGCAGAACAGGTCAGTGTGACCCCCTAAAACCTCCCGATGGCCACGGCACTGCCAGCGCCGCGCGTTGGGAGCGCTTTCACCCTTCCTCGAGCAAAGCCATGCGGGAGACTTAGTTCAACCTCTACTTCTACTGCAAAGAATCCAGGTGTTGGTGGACCCAGGATGGGGAAATGTTCCATAAACCAACTCTGGACCCTCGGTTCTCAAAGCGCCTCTGGGTGTAGTGGGCATCTCGTCTCCAGAGTGAGGCCGTGAGACAGTGATGGGACGAGGGGTAACAGTTTTAAGCTGAAAGAGAGGAGATTTAGATTAGGTGTTAGGAAGAAATTCTTCTCCCTGAGGGTGGTGAGGCCCTGGCCCAGGCTGCCCAGAGAAGCTGTGGCTGCCCCCTCTCTGGCAGGGTTCAAGGCCAGGTTGGACGGGGCTGGGAGCAACCTGGACTGGTGGAAGATGTCCCTGCTCATGGCAGGAGGGTTGGAACAAGATGATCTATAAGATCCCTTCCAACACAAACCATTCTGTCCTTCTGTGAGATCTCACGTGGCTTTGGGCAGCTGCCAGCCCCAGGAGGAGACTCCTTCCATTGAAGCCCATGGGATAAGTACGAGGTCTTCACCCTGTCTCCTCCTGTAATGCTTTCTCAGGAGAAGTGTGCCCAGTACTGGCCGTCTGACGGCTCGGTGTCCTATGGAGACATCACCGTGGAGCTGAAAAAAGAGGAGGAGTGCGAGAGCTATACGGTGCGGGACCTGCTGGTAACGAACACCAGGGTAAGAGTCTGGCCTTCTCCCTGTGGGGAGCTCCAGGTGCTCTTGGGTTTGGGCGTACTTAACCCCTGCTGATGTTCGTGGCGCTTTGCGGTTCCTCTTCCAAGTGCTGGACCTTCCTCTGGCATCATCAGCTCCATCATCTCCTCATCATCCCGAAGTACTGTCCACCCCCTGCAATCCCACCTTCTTCCCTATGCTTACCTCCCACCCCAGGGGTTCCTGTCCTGCTGATCGCTTCTCATCCTGCCCTGCTGCCACCAAGCAGCCCTCGTCCTCCTTCTGCCTCGTCCCTGTGCCCACCACCCAGCCTCCCTATTCCTCCCCGTTCCCCACGTCCTGCCCTGCTCCATCCCACGGGAATGCCTCCCCTCCACAAGCAGGCAGCTCCCCTAACCGGATGGCTTTCCCAAAGCCCTGAGCTGGTGGGTTTCTCGGGACGGGTCTCCCGTCGGCTTCCTGACCTCGAGCTGTGCTCTTCCGCCAGGAAAACAAGAGCCGACAGATTCGGCAGTTTCATTTCCACGGCTGGCCAGAAGTTGGGATCCCCGGGGATGGGAAGGGAATGATCAACATCATCGCGGCCGTGCAGAAGCAGCAGCAGCAGTCTGGCAACCACCCCATCACTGTGCACTGCAGGTAAAGCCCGGGTGGAGGAGGGGTTGGCCACCGCTCCAAGGGGACCTGCTCTGTGAGAACCTTTGGAGGTGAGCAAAGGTCCCTCAGAAGACTTGGGCTGAGCAGGAGCAGCCCGGGCAGACGTGGTACGGGGATTTCCTGCTCGCTTAAGCAAAAGAGGCTTCAGTCTTGTAGAGCAGGTCCTAGCTAAGCTGGGAGAAGCTGGGCAGGACCATCAGCTCCTCCAGTTCTCCGGTGGTTCCCCTACGGATTGTCCCCGGAGCAAAGCCAACACGGTCAGGACGGGCGGTTTCCTTTACCTTCTGGTTTCTCTTTGGCAGTGCCGGAGCAGGAAGAACAGGCACCTTCTGTGCGCTGAGCACTGTCCTGGAGAGGGTGAAGGCAGAAGGGATTCTCGACGTCTTTCAGACAGTGAAGAGTTTAAGACTACAGAGGCCACATATGGTGCAGACACTGGTAAGCTCAGCTGAGCGCGCTCCTCCTGCTGCCCCAGACCTCAGCGGGAATGGGCTGGGGACTCAGCGCGGAGCAAAAACCTCCTTGGCTGAAGGTCTGCTCTCTCCATGAGTACTCCAGGAGTAAGGGATGGAGGTGGTTCCTCCTGTTAGGATGTCTGGAAGCGTGGAGCTTGGCTGGCTGAAGGCATCAGGCCCCTCTTGAGCACTGACACGAGCTGTAGGAGCCTCCTTGGAGATGTCCTCAGCCACAGCCCACGCATTTGTGGGCTCCAGGAGCCTGGAAACCTGTCCTGCAGCGGCCACGGCACTCAGCAGCCTGGCAGGGAGCGGAGGAGCAGGCAGGCCCAGCTGACGTCTTCCAAGAGGGGCTTGCAAAGATGCTCAGGGATCCAGAAGAAAGTCTTTTGGGGGGGAAAATAGGACCTCAGAGAGGAAGAGGAAGGCAGAGTTTCTATTGCTGGTGGCACCCCAGCAAGGAGGGTGGGCATCCTGCTTTTGGGGGCTGGAAGGAGGTGGGACGCGCTCACGGGTGGGAATCAGCCCGGGCTGAGGACACGTGGCCGTGCTTGGTCCCAGCTCGCTGCAGACCACGAAGCACCAACTCGTGTCTCGGGTGGGAATTTCCTCGGTCTAACACCGTGCTCTCCCCGCATCCCGCAGGAACAGTACGAATTCTGCTACAAGGTGGTGCAGGAATATATCGACGCCTTCTCAGACTACGCCAACTTCAAGTGAAGAAAAAAATTCCACGCCCCGAAACAGATGACAGAAGAGTTGCCTTCTTTAATATTTTGTAATATTCTGTTTGTTAATATACCCCCTCCCCCCCAAAAAAAAAAAATATGTGTATATATGTTAACTGTTTTAGAGGTTGGTACCATAAGCTTCATATTAGCTGGAGATTTTATATGTAGCAAAGTGTTACTGAAGATACTGTTGGCTCCTTTTTTTCCAATGTTTTATTGGGGAATTAAATAGCGTGATGTTTGGATTAATATTGTCACACCACCTCTCTTCTGGAGAGTTGCTACAGGCTGGT